TTTATATTTAACAATACATATAAGCTAACAATTTTAAACCATCATTTTATATTAATAAAATTGCCAAAATCACTGCACATAGCCTCAAATGTCATGTGGTTTCCTGGAGGTGTTGCTTCATTTGTCTTATGGAAGAAATGACTGCAGTAACTTTGGCATCTTGGCAGAAACTCTGGGCACCATGTAGCAACTGCAGATTTGCGTAAAGGGTGTGTTATTTCCACCGGGTTTTCTCAGGCAAAAAGATTCGGACAGGTTTAGAATTATTTTCTTTAAGCAGTAAATTGAACAGAATATTGAATCTCATATCCCATCAGTCTGTTTGAGTGCATGGCTGCATTAGATGCATATGTGTGGCTGCAGGTGACAGGCTGGATTACCTAAACAGCCCTAATGTGTCACCTAATCACCTGCTGAGACTGACACACTCTCCCTCAGTGTGTGTGTGTGTGTGTGTGTGTGTGAGAGAGAGGAGCGAGGTTTGGTTACGGTACAGTGATAGCACCAGGGTAGGGCTGAAAGAAAGAAATGAGAAAAGATATTTAAAGAGAAAAAGAGAGGTGCAGTGTTATCCTCTAAGCAGCATCCATGCACTTCTGATATGTTTTTGTGATCTTGATCATAAGAGATGCTTTGGTTTTTTTTTATTATTAAATTGTTTTGTAAAGAATGGTAGAGTTTGTGCTTCTTCTCAAGTAGCGAAAGGATTCATTCAGTAGAAATAGGTTTTACTGACCAAGAATAAAAAAAAGAGTAAAAAAAAAAAAGAGGGAAACCATATCAGACCAATCTAATGCTAAGGTGGCACATCTTGACCTTGAGACTCTCTTTCAATATATTTATTTTAATTTATTTCTCTTTTTTGTAACATGCATCAAACCAGTACCATAGTATTAATAAAAATAATATTAATACACAGTATAAAAATATAATAAAATAAAATAAATGTTCATTGATAAATTATAATTAACCAGGCATTCAATGCACTAAAATAATGTGCTTAATGCTGTGTGCTAAGGTAAACTGGGTTAACCAGGCATTCAATGCATTAAAATAGCTATGTGCTCTAGGTACTATCACATCATTGCCTTTCATTTCAGAACAAACACGCCTCCTTTTTATACAAATTATGCTTAATATAGAATGTTCCTTGTTCACAAAACATTTGCTTGCCAATACTGCACTTTTATTGCCTACAGAAAAAAAGAAAATTTAATTTAAATGTTATACATTTTCTATTGACCATTGCATCAAATGATGGAGAAGAGTGATTTAACAAGGCATATGTCCAGTGTGCTGTAAGTTACTGTTAAACAATAATAAGAATTGTTTGTTTATTTATTTAGGGCATCTTAATACAAATTAATAATTTTACATATTACTTTTATTATATAATAAAAAATATTAATAATATAACTCCTGGCTGTACATACATAGCCTCAAAAATGATGTAGTTTTATTATTTTAACCAGACCGCTTTGCATTGTCAACAGAAAGTTAGTGTTATAAAATGATTATAATTATTAAAATAATATAAAATAATAATAAAATTCATTTACATGTAATATATTTATATTCATTAATAATATAATATAATATAATAGAATAGAATAGAATAGAATAGAATAGAATATATTTTTTAACATTTACACCATTACCTGATTGCAGTTCCTTTAGTGAAACAGGTGCTTAACGTGGACAGCACATTCATTTTAAGTGAATTCCCCCCAAGACTCTCTTTCTTTCTGTCTCTCTCTCTCTCTCTCTCTCTCTCTCCCTCCCTCTCATTTGTTTTCCCTCTCAGTCCTGTCTTGATCTCCATTTGGTCTGTTTATTGGTCTAATTAGTGATGTTTTTAAGTTTATTCTCTGTAGTGCTAGGGCTCAGGAGAGAACAGAGATACACAAATACAAGTTTATACACTTTATATGATAAATATATGGAAAACAGATAGAAAGAAGTGACACACATACACAAAAAAACAAACGGATAAAGATGAAATGCTCCAATTCGCTCCCCTCAGGCAGATGGTCCCCAAGAGCTCTTACCAAGAAAAAAAATCAGTCTTATCTAATCATGGATACACACAGCGACCTCCCCACACACACACACACACACACAGGTCCTCAGGCAAGAAGGTGAGACTCCCCTGCCGATTTTCTCTTTGGAATAATGGCTTCTCTCTCGAGTGCTTCCAGAATATTCTAGAGAGTGAGAGATTGATGGAGGAGCGGAGCGGCCCAGCTTTTTCACTTGCTGGCAATAATGCGTCAAAGGGACTTGGAGTGATGTGGCAGCTGTAAATCTGAAAGCTTGTGTGTGTGTGATATTTTTGCTGCCGTAATGTCAAGGGAATTTAATTTATTTCTCCACCTGTGTGGGGATTCTTACATTTAAGATGGGGTTACATTGTCTATTAGTATATAATGAGGAGGAGTTATGTGTGTGTGAGCACACCTGGTTTCCTCTTAACTGTAATGTGACAGTAAGAGGGTCTGAAGCATTTGTCAGTGATTCTCAGCAGTAAA